CGCCAAAGGAGGCGGGGGGGAGGTGGTTCCGGGCCCCGCCTAGCCTCCCGCCCCTTCCTTCCCTAGATGCGGTCAGTGCAAGGGCCAGCAGCCATGCACGGTGACGGAGGGCCGCTGTGTGACCTGCGAGCCCGGCTGGAACGGCACCAAGTGCGACCAGCCTTGCGCCACTGGCTTCTACGGCGAGGGCTGCAGCCACCGCTGCCCGCCGTGTCGCGACGGGCACGCCTGCAACCACGTCACTGGCAAGTGCACGCGCTGCAACGCAGGCTGGATCGGCGACCGGTGAGCAACCTGTGCCATAATCGGTGCCAGGCCCGCTGCCCCACCGCCCCTGATGCCCTTGGTGGAGGGCTTTGTGGGCTTGGGTTCGTTTGCCCCCATTTCCACTAACCCTCCTCCCCGCGTTTCGAGGTGCGAGACCAAGTGCAGCAATGGCACTTACGGCGAGGACTGCGCGTTCGTGTGCGTCGACTGCGGTAACGGCCACTGCGACTTCCAATCCGGGCGATGCCTGTGCAGCCCTGGTGTCCATGGGCCCCAGTGAGTGCCCGGGGCCTAAAGGGGGCGAGGGTATGAACCCGACACAGGGCTCCAGCCAGAAGCCCAGGTGCTTCTATGTGGGTGGGACCAAGGCCTGACCCTTCAACGTTGGCCCCCTTACTTTAGCTAAGGAATGACAACAGACTCTTTGGAGCCGGCACTTTGAGCTGGATCTGACGTCCAGGTCAGCCTGTGGTCAGTGGGCTCCTGAGGTGCACCTGAGCTGGTATAGAGCGAGCAGGGACCTCCACTTACAGCCAAGGGCCTGATCGGGCAGCCCCTTTCCCATCCACACAAGAGTCAGTCTCAGGGATGGGCACTGCGGCCCAGTAGCCACTGGCCAGTCCCCCAGGCCCCTTCCCACTGGTGTGCACACACATCCATTTCTAAAACACGGATCGCAGAGTATGTGCCCCGAAGTGGAGGTGGGCATCAGTCCTTGGAGAATAGAGCTCCAGGACAGGGGTTAGCTGGCAGCAGGAGCCAGGGCGGAGGCATCGCGGAGGGTCGCTGTGGCCCTCCCTGACCTGCGCCTCCGTCGTAGCTGTAACCTGACGTGCCCGCCCGGACTCCACGGTGTGGATTGCGCCCAGGCCTGCAGCTGCCACGAGGACTCGTGCGACCCAGTCACTGGTGCCTGCCGCCTGGGTGAGTTGGTGCGATGGCGGGGGGCGGGTGGGGAGGTTGCTGGCACCCTCCCTGATCCTAATACCCGACAGAGACCAACCAGCGCAAGGGTGTGATGGGCGCGGGCGCGCTGCTCGCCCTGCTCCTGGGTCTGCTGCTCTCGCTACTCGGCTGTTGCTG